AATACTCTATACAGATTGGCTTTTGTCATTAAAAATGTGCACAAAGCTGCTCTCAAATTATAGGGAAAGTGATCATTTATTAAGTTAAACACTAATGATCCAATTATACTATGAAAACATGATAATCAGCATGATGGCACAAAAGAAACATAGTATTTGGTTTTCCTGTTTAGACCAAGCCGTAATTTCATCTCACATCTGTATATTTATACATTTTCATTCTTTCAAAATACCACCTTTGGTATAATGATACTAACTTTGATGAAATGAACTAGTTACCAGAAACATGTATAGTTAATGTTAATGAGCTCTGCATAGTCCCTAAAACACACTGATGATAGATAGATGTTTTATTATGTTACATATGTAAATATCGTTTTCATTACAAAAAAAAAGGTAGATTACTAAAGTATATAAAATGTTTATTTAAACACACACTCTGTTGAGTAATCTTTTTGTCTTTTGCATAAAGACATTTAAATTGGTAAGTTAAGGAGATTTCTTAATCCATAAAAGAAGAAAATATCTCAATTGTTTATTATCATAGCAGATCAATCACTTCAAACTTACTGCATAGTCCATCCTCACAGTTATCAGGGCAACTGGCACAGGGTGTTCCTTGTTGGTAAGGGGTATTCTTTTTACTCACATTATTCCCACTGAAATTTAAAATACATGTCAAATACTTTTCACTTTGCTGTTTAGTTTATACTCCAAGGATAGCATGAGACACCAAATATAGTTATTAAGTATTTTTAGATATGTTAATGAGACTGAAAAATTATAATTCCCAATGTGTATTTCAGATAACTTTCAAATTAAGAAAATACTTCACACAGTCACCCATCGCTTTGACCATACTTTTTCAGGCTGATCAACTAAATTGAAATAACTAGAGTTTAAGTGTTCAGAGTCTATTTCAACACTCTCTTCATGTTCCAGAAGACTAGGTCATATTGGTAAGGTGGTACACTACCCGCCTCCTTCCCCTCCCTGCAATGAACAAGCTGAGGGTTAGACAGAACATATCTCCTAGAGAGACAAGAGGAACTCCTGGGAAGGAGGGGGTAGCAGTGTGGAAAAGAATACTCAATGTTATAATATCATTTTGTATTTGAAAGATGATAAAATACCATAATTTCTCTAATACGAACTAGGGACAGGAAAGCTACGATATATATATTTTTTGACTTCTAGACAGGAACAGGGATATTTAATAGTTAGTGTTGTGTGTGTTTG